GTTTCTTTCTATTTATTCTACCGTTCATTGAAAATGGTGTATTAAAGTTTCCTACTATTAATGTGGAGTTCTCTTTTTCTCTTTTCTATTCTGTGAAAATTTGAGTCATGTTTGAGCCTTTTCATTAGGTACATAGATATTTATAATGGTTATAACTTCTTGTTTGATAGATCCCTTAATCATTATATATTATTACACAATATCCTTCTTTGTTTCTTAGGCTGTTCCTTTATCTTAAAGTGTATTTTATCAGAAATTAATATTGCCACTCCTTCTCTTTTATGAATACCAATTGCTTGATACATTTTTTCCCAAACTTTGATTTTTAGTCTATTTTGCCTTGTGTATAAGGTGTGTCTCTTTTAAACAGCACATCGAAGGGTCATGCTTTCTTATCCATTCTGAAACTCCCTGTCTCTTAATAGAGAATGTAATCAATTTGAATTCAGTGTAATTATTAACAAGTATAAAGTTATTGCTGTCATTGTAGCATGTGTGCTTTTGTAGTATTGCTGACTTCATTTTTCCCATATAATTTTCTGTCCACAGTGATACCACCTTGGAAACCCAAGGAGGGGTCACTAGGAGTCAGATCCAAATTAGACCACTAATGAACATCATGACAAACAGAAAAAATACTGATGTTTAGAAGAAGTTAATTTTACTTGGATCCATAATTAACCCCCATGGAACCACCAGTCAAGAAATCAAATGATTATTATATTGGGAAAATCTGTTACAAAAGAATTCTTTAAGTATTAAAAAGCAAAGATGTCATTGTGAAAAACAGAGTTTACATGACCTAAGGTATGGTATTTTTAATCACCACATATGCATGTGAAAACTAAAAAATGAATAAGGAAGACTGGGTATGTATTTGAATTATGGTGTTGGTGGATAAATTGAATATGCCATGGAGTGTCAGAAGAAAGAACAAGTCTATCTTGAAAGAAGTACAATCAGAAGCACGGATGGCAAGGCTTCATTTCATGTCCTGTACTTTTCACATGGTATCAGGAAAGACTAGTCCCTAGAGAAGGACATCATACTTTGTAAAGTAGAATGTCATTGAAAAAAAGAGAGTAGAGTGTCATTGAAAATGTGCGGGACAATTTACTCCTTAAAGCTACCTTTTGAGGTCAGTGCTCTTACTATTTTCAATTTGAAGATAATGAAATTTAAGCACAGAAAGGTTAAGGTAATTATTCAATGTTACAGCTTGTAATTATAAACCTTGTGTTTGACTCCTGACAGTGAGACTTTAGAATCATCATTTTTAATTGCAAGGGACCTTGGTGATGCAGTGGTTAAAGTGCTCAGCTGCTAATCAAAAGGTCAGTAATTCAAACCCACCAGCTGTTCTGTGGGGGAAAGATGTGGCAGTCTACTTCTGCAAATATTTACAGTGTTGAAAATTCCATGAGGCAGTTCTACTCTATCATTATGAGTCAGAATTGACTTGACAACTACAATCAGCAGTGGGTTTGTTTTTGGGTTATATTTAGATGTCTTCCACAGCAAACATTGGTATTCTACCATCCAGTGGTTAGGAGGTGCCCTTGTAGCTGCAATCATCTATAGATTTAAATACTGGGAATTTGTATTTTGACTATTTAGAAATAGAATATCCAGTTACCATAAGAAGCTTTGATGGTACAGTGATTAAAGCATTTGGCTTTGAACCAAAAGATTGGTGGTTTGAACCTACCAGCTGCTCTGCAGAAGAAAAATGGGGAGATCCTTAAAGATTTACAGCTTTGAAAACCCAATGGGGGTCACTATGAGTCAGAATTGACTCTATGGCAGTGAGTGTGTTTTTTTAGATTATAGCAACTAAGTAACTGTAGATTTCTATCCATTTTTCAAGAATAGTAAAAGATAAGCAGACTATATGACTATCATGATTTTAATGTTTAACAAGTTACTGCCTGGCTTTTAATAGGTTATGTGAAAACATTTTTGAGGTGACCAGTTGTTCTAGCCTACGTCAACCCATACTAATAAGCCAAGTGACTCCCTCTATAAATCAGTACCAGCCAAAATCTGTGTATATTCATTAAATCAAAATTACATGCTGAAATGCCTATTAATTCAGCTCTAAATTAAATAGAACAGGCAAGTTATTGCTTCATCCCAAAGAGAACAGAACTCATGGAGTGGTTTCATTCAGACATGACATCCCTAATATTACTGTCTAGCATTTGTATCAGGAGTTCTGGTAGCATAGTGCCTAAGGCACTTGACTGCTAACCAGAAGGCTGGTGGTTCAAACCCACCAGCCACTCCTCAGAAAGAAGGTTGGGCAATCCTACTTCCGTAGTGATACTGCCTCGGAAACCCAAGGAGGGGGTCGCTATGAGTCGGGGCTGACTCGACGGCAAACAACAACAAAAACAGCATTTGTATCAGGTATGACTGATGCGGGACTGCAAGGTCCTCACTAATTTACTAGTTATTGTGAGGTTAATAAGAGGGCTGTCTGCTGGAGACAATTGTGTGAATGCTGTCATACATGATGACCAGCCTTTGCCTACAGAATTTGGCAATAGGACTGCACAATGACAGTGAAAAATACTATACTTTTTATGGCATGTACTTTTTTAAATAAACCTATATTCAGTCAAACATTATTTCAAAAAGTTACCTTAGCTTATGCCATGCTAATAAGTTGTGGATTTCTTAGTGATTTTCTTCTCCTAATTTCACAAAAGTGTAACTGAAAGGTAAACGTGGATATTTTGATTTCTTTATGCTCCATGATCTTGCTAATTCTTGAAAGTCTACTTGTTACATAAAGGTTTCAAAACTGTACTTTTTCTTAGGACATTCTATTCCTTAATCTTTCAACATACATGTGTAGCAGTCTTACTGTGTGCCAGGTAAACACTATGCTCATTGGTGGGATATATAGCGATAAAGTCATACATGCTTCCTGCTTTTGTGGAGTTCTTAGGCTAGTGACAAAGATCCAACACCAAAACAAATAAAATTATAAAAAAAAAATCCTCTCACCATTGAATCAATCCCAATTCATCACAACCTCATGTGTGTCAGAGTAGAACTGTGCTCTATGTGGTTTTCAGTGGCTACCTTTTCAAAAGTAGATTGCTAGGACTTTCTTCTGAGAAACTTCTGAGTAGAATCAACCCGCAAACTTTTCAGTTAGTAGCTGAGTGGTTAATAGTTCGTGTTATCTAGAGACTCTAAAATTATCATAAATTGAGATAATTTCTATGTAGGAACAAAATGAAGCCTCAGAGTGGGATCATTATTCAGATATGGTGATGAAGGTGAACTACTATGAAGAGATAACCATTAAGCTGAAATACGAAAGATAAGTAAGAAAAGTAGTATGAAAGGTGGAGGAGGGCAGTGGAAAGACAATTCAGACAGGCAGCTGCAAATGTAAATTACTAAGCCAATGAAAATTTTCACATCCTCTTGGAGCTGAATAAAGACTGTGAGAATGGAGTATGTAGTGCAAAGAAGAATGACAAGAATGGAAGCTAGAAAAATAGGCAGCCATCAGGTCTTCTTGCAAGGTGTTGTAGATGATGGATCTTACACTAAGGGTAATGAAAATCCATTTAAGACCTGCAAGCAGGAGAGTCACAAGTTATGATGGAAATTTCTGTACAATGGCAAAAACAATATGCATAAGAATTAAATAGGTTGTCTTAGAGTTCAAGAGGAGAGGTTAATGGGATCTTTAAACACATAGCAGTAGCCATTCAAAACTATAAATAACTTTCAAGTGTTACAAAGTCACTGCATACCTTTATATGTGAAAGTTACATCCTTTCAAGCTGAATATACTCAAATGTGTCCATTTAAGTAGAAAATATGCATAGTTCTTCACATGCCAAGGAGAAGTTTGCAGTAAAATTTGTTCAGAGCTCTGAATGATTCTGCATTTCTTCAGACATGTTAAAGGGAGACAAAGATACTTTGCTTTAAAGTTTCTGGTTTTTTTTTTTTCACTGTCATAAACTGAACTAAGTAAACTCTGCTATAGAAATTGTGCTTGTAGATCATGTGCTATGAGAATGAAACTATGCCAAGAACAACATGATGATGTGATAAATGAAGGAGCTTATTATTTGTCTGTATTCTAAAAATAACATGAAGAGTAAACACACCAAAATAAAAATCATATCCAAATAGGTTCTTTCCAATGACAAATTATCAACCATTTAGATACAAGTAAACAAATAGCATAAAACACAAGTAAACACAGTACTTGGTGTAAAGTATTGTCATAATAAAGAATACGTTGTCCAGAGAAAGAAGCAATCACTTTTAAATAAAGACATAAGGGAAAGATGTCATAAAGAAGAAGCATTTAAACTTGGCCTTCAAGGAGTTGAGGGGAACAAAATGCTAGACAAAGAGAAATGTCTGTTGGGCAATGACTATTTTCAGTCCTTAGGAAATGTCACTTCAGAGTCCTTCTCTCAATCAACTGGAGAAGCCATGACCTGAGCTAAATTAAGAAGACTCAATTGGAACTTCTAGTTTAAAAGGTCATGGACATCATATTACCATGTTCTGCAAAGGTGGCATCTCTGAAATCCCCAATGTTGAGTATTAAGTAATATTCAATTGGCTGTTTCCACATATATCCCTTATTGTTCACTCACCAATATGGGAAGTCATAGTGACTAAGGAAAAAAATAAACTTTAGCTTGAGAGGCATGTTGAGACTCCTATTTAGTAAACCCTAGACAGATGAGTCAGCTTTGGCATTAAGATGAAAGCCATTTTGAAGATTCAAAATGGGCTTACCTCTTTGATAATAAGACGTCATCTTCATATATAAGTAAATGAAGTGCTAATGAGATGTTATTTTTCAAATTAGCTTAAACAATGTCATGGAAAGAAGTCTCAAGAAGAAGCCAACACCCAGTTTTCTGAGTATATAATCTGCTCAGCAAAGAATGTAATATTCAAACCCAGTATGTTAGGTCTTCATGACCAACTCCAATCAATGTTTTAGTAATATGCCTCAAAGTCACTGTCAGTCTCTCAGGAACTTCTACAGGGTTCCACCACTCTCTGCCATTGTACATGGCTCTAATCCTGTAAGCTTTGAAGATGGGTTTTGTTTACCCAGCAGCTGCTATGGCAGAACCTGGCTCTTGGACAACTTTCAAGAAAACTGCACTGAAACCACCAGCTGCCAACTGACCAACTGTGAACAGCATTTGTACAAGGAAGATAACTGTGTGCAAAGTGCTTGCCTGTCCAGAGTTATCCAGACAATGTGTACTAATTCCAGGCCCTGTGAAAGGACAACATGCCAAGCTATACCTGCTTCAGCATCATTGGAGTGTGTTCTCCAGTCTTGCCAGTCAGGAAGCAGCCAGCAAATGGATTGTGTAGTTCAAAACTGCCAACCTGTGAGCTGCATGGTGAAGAGTTGCCCAACCAAGACTTATGTGTCTAAGAGTTGCCAAAATCTGCAGTATGAATCTAGTCAATGCCAGACTCAAGGTCTTGAATCCAGATCCTGTAGACTTTTGGACTATGTCTCACCTGGGTCACAACTTCTGGAATCTTCTAGTACTTATGAACCAACTTGCTGTGTTACTGGTGGTTTGCAATTGCCTAGTAAATGAAGAAACTTTAAGGAGATGGCATATTCTAATTTGAATGAACTGATTTCTGAGGGTTTTCAGAAACTTTATTTCTCTAAATACAAATCAATCAGTGTGTATATTGTGTAAAACCTCTAAAGAGAGGATTGTTTTTTAATCTTTTGAGGATTTTTGGTGGTGAGTTGGTGTTGGAATTGTTTTAGAACAGGGGATACTATATGTTATAGAACAATAAGTATTGCAACCTGATATTAATGTGAGTAGTTTAAGAAGTCAATATCAATCTTTGGCTACTGGTTTTGTCTTTGGAAAGGTGATATTGGATGTTATTTATTAACTAATATACAACCAGCATCAGAAATTCATGAAGGTTTAAAAAGTAGAAGTTAAAAGAGATCTAAAAAACCCTCTAGCCTTATGAATTCTGATAATTTCAATTTCATCAGAGGTTGTGCTTGTAGTTAATGACATTAGAACCACCACTAAAATCTATGTCCATTCTGGTCATCCACTAGTTTCACCACTGCATCACAACACTCTTTTCCATTAATTATAAGATTAACTCTATTACTTGAAAAATACACAGCAATTTGGAATCTCACTCAAAATTTCACTTGGGATATCAGTCACATAGTTGCCAAAGAACTTTGAATATGTATAAGCTCATGTTTACATATTCACTAAATTTCTGTTATTCTTTTTTTCATTTTTCACTCTTCTTAAGTGTTTGTTGAGTTGGGAAAAGTTCTTTGTATTTAATAAATTTACTTCCTTTGGAATTATAACTTTGTCATTTTATTGTTTTTAATCAATACATTTATGGTTTTGTTATAGGTTTTTCACCATCAGGTATGAAAATCTGGTTTTTCACCGTCAGGTATGAAAAATGGTATGAAAAATGGTATGAAAATGTGGAAGAGACAAAGAAAATCCATTTTCTGACCATAATTTGTATAGGATGAATCAGAAGTTAAAAAATGCAATTGTGTTAGTGAGCATAAAATGGGGAACACAATATGAAGATTATAAAACCATGGAATCAAATTGTTAAAATTCTTTAATTTGGTTTAGGTAGCATAGGTATTCTGAAGCTTTGTGTGTGCTTTTAAATGTATGTTTCATCTTGAAGGGGAGCATAAGCTAATGCCTAAGAATGGAGTCCCTGGCGTCAGATTTCTGTGGTTCTGAACCTGAGCTGTGCTGTGTGAAGCCTGCTTGAATTCCCATTGTGTAGCTATGGTCAAGTTACTTAACTAGTCTGTGCCTTCATTTTCTTCAAAACCGAGATGAAGGGTCACTGTGTGGCTTAATAAGTTAATAAATTAAAAGTGCTTAGTACATTATTTTATATATAGCAGATAGTAAGATTTAGCTACACAGTTAGCTAAACAATATGATGAATGTATTTGTAAATAAACCCAGAAGTTTATGACAGAGAAGGATGACTAGTCATCCAAAACATGAGATCAGGTAACTGTAGTTTAGAAGATGCAGGCAGCACTTTTTACTAAGGAAAATGCTTAGGAAATATGTGTCACATCTTACTGAAGTGGGCAGACAAGTACCTTTCAGTCCATAAAAAAATTGTTAATATTTACCAATCAGCTCTAAGAGTGGATTGGACACAGGTTACTGTAAAGAATAGGAGTTAACCTAAACTCTATAAACTACCACTTACACAGTTCATTCTGTACAAGACTAGAACTGAGAGGAGGCTATGAAAGGTCTGAGAGAGGCAGAAAACTATTTGCTCTCTTCATAGCAGCAGGCCGTGTGACAGCCACAACAACAGAGTATCCATCTGTGAATCAAGAGATGCTAATGCAAACCTTCTGACCACAGCAGGGATGGTAGCCACACAGCATTGGCAACTGCAAGAGACACTTAATCTGCATGAAAGCCTCTCAAGATTCCAGTCACAGCCAAAAATATAAACATAGGTGAAATGGGTCCACAATGAAAGTTGTTACTAATGAAAGTCAAATCTGATTGCCTGAAGATGAGGATAAATATAGCCATTTCTTATGCCTTCCAAGTATACATTCCTTTACTGGGCAGAGTTTGTTGGGAAGACAAAATTTTGGTGAAAAGTGCCTGTACGTGGGCCTGCACACCTGTGTTGTATATATATATGTGTATGTTGGGAAGGCAAGAGAGAGGGACATCACCATCAAACAAGGTCTTCATTTGTCCCTCTACTTGATTTATCATTCCAAACCTTAATTTATCTTTTCCAGAAAGAGTTTAACCACTCCCTTTGGAGAAGTTATATGAAGAAGAGGACAGTGGCTAATGTAACCAAACATGAAACACAGTAGAACTCTTTCCAAAGAGAAACAATGCACTCAATTGTTAAAGGTTGTTAGTATTATGATAGTGAATGGTGATACGATGTGGAGAGAAACTGCAGAAGGAATTTAGTGTAGTGAGAACAACATGCCCTTTGGGTTACAACTGGACCTTTTTCAAATTCAAATTCTGCCACTTATAAACTGTGTGTCTTGGAACAAAGAAACATTTTTGAGAGTCAGTTTCTTTATTGTGAAATGGAGACAGTAACAATTCACTGCATGACTGTGAAAATCAAATGTTATTAGGCCATTAAATGCTTACTGGAGTGTCTGGCACATGATAAAATCATAATGTATGACAAATACTAGGAGCTCTGGTAGTGTAGTGCCTAAGGCACCTGACTGTTAACCAGAAGGCTGGCGGTTCAAACCCACCAGCCACTCCTCAGAAGGAAGATGGGGCAATCTACTTCTGTAGTGATACTGCCTCAGAAACTCAAGGAGGGGTCGCTATGAGTTGGTCCGACTCAAGGGCACATAACAACAACAACAACAACATGATAAATACTATTTGATACTTCTGATATTTGCTTCTTGTGCCTCAATCTCAGTTTACTTTTATGATTGTCTCATACTAGATTTGACCTCTGGGGTAGAGACCAAGAAAATTCACCTTTACTTGTACAAAGATCATAAGCGGTATGGAACAAGACCCAGATATTCTGTGTAATATACATTTTTAAATAAGAAAGCTGATCTTTTACATGTAGACAGGACCCAGCTGTTACATGATACAGAACATTATTCTGTATCAAGAAACTCACTGCCACGATGTTTCAGCGTAATTTAGACAGTTTATTTGTTTGTTCTGTAAGAATTCCCAGGTATGTAATAGAGCTGACAAGGGACAAGGTTGTGGTCACTTCTTGGTCACAGCCAACTACTCAGAAGGAGCAAGTAGTTGGGCCTGTGTGCTGGGGACCATAGCCACAGAGGACAACAAGCTCAATTGGCATAACATACAACACAAAAACATTGTTCCACATTCTACTTTGGCAAATAGCTACTGGGATCTTCAAGGCTTGCAAGCAGCCACCTAGATGTAACAATGGGTCTCTCCTTGTCCAGAGCAAAGAAGAATGAAGGAAACCAAAGACAAATGGAAACAATTAGTCCAAGGGACTGTTACACCATGCTATATTCAGCCTATACAACTATAAGAACAGAAGAACTTGATCGTGCTTGGCTACCACTATCAACCTCTTGCAGGAGGATCTATATAGGAGATCCTGGATAAAGTGAAAAACAATGTGGGACAATACTAAAAATCATTAAAAAAAAAAAAAAATGAGGTTTGCTGGTTTGATAGACCCTGATGGAACCACTGAAACTATGGCCCCTAACAGCCTGTCAGGTCTGGAATTGAACCTCCTCCTCTGGCTTCTAGCAAAACACAAGCATATGAGTTGAATATTTACATTAGATAGATACACTCCTTGGAGAGATCAGTCATAGGAGAATAGAATAGCAGTGTATGCACAAGGAGACAGCTCGTGTATGGGAGGGAAGGAGAAAGGAAAGAGGTATCTTTGGTGAGGCGTGGGAGGGGAACTCTTGCATTGTGGTAAATTGTCAATGTCATGAGATGAAGTGTATATGAGCTGTTGTATGGAAAGTGAATTTGCTCTGTAAACTTTGACCTAAATCACAATAAAAATTAAAAAAAAAAAAAAAGGAAGGAAGGAAGGAAGAAATCCACTGACATTAATTCAATTCTGACTCATAGTGACACCAATTGAGTTTCCAAGGCTGTAAATCTCTTTCTCTCTCTCTCTCTTTTTTTTTTAAATTTTATGGTGATTTGGGTGAAAGTTTACAGAGCAAATTCATCTTCCATATAGCAGTCTACATACACTTTGTCTCATGACATTTACTGTAATATTAAAAATATCCAACAATTTCCTACTTACTCCCCACATCCACCTCTTCCATGTTTCCTTCCTTCCATGCACTCGTGGCTCCGAGCTGTCTCCCTGTGCATACACAGTCCTTCTATTCTCCCATGATTGTTCTCTCCAAGGAGTGTATCTACCTAATGTAAATGTTTAGCTCATATGCCTGTCTTTTGGCTGGAAGCCACAGGAATGGGTTCAATTCTAAACCTGGAAGACAGCTAAGAGCCATAGTTTCAGGGGTTCCACCAGGTTCTGTTAGACCAGCAAATCTGATCCCTCCACTATATCCAGGATCTCCTAAATAAATCCTCCTCCGAGTGGTTGACAGTGGGAGCCAAGCACCATCTAATTCTTCTGGTCTCAGTCCTGTAGGCTGAGGATCGCATGGTCTACCAGTCCTTTGAACTAATTGTATCTATATGTCTATACTTTTCTTCATTCTTCTTTGCTTTGGATGAGGATAGACCCATTGTTTCACCTAGATGGCTGCTTGCAAGCTTTTAAGATCCCAGTCACTACTCACAACAGTAGGATATGGAACGATGTCTTTGTGTAGTATGTTATGCCAATTGAGTTTGATATCCCCTCTGACCATGGTCCTGAGCCCATAGGTTCAACTACTTGCTCCATATGGGTAGCTGGCTATGGCCAAAAAGTGACTACAACCTTGTCCCTTGTCAGCTCTACTACATACTTAGAAATTCTTACACAACATCTAAGTACACCTGTAGAAACATTGTCTGCCAACCCTATACATGGTCATGGGCACACTCCC